CTTTTTTTATTAAATGGTCATAAAAAATAGTTTTCTGCACATAAATTTTTTAAAAAAATATTGATAAAATAGTACTTAAATTGAATTATCATTATAATTTGAAAAAAAAAAGTAAAAACGGCTACAAACAACATATAAAATAGAAAAAAAAAATCCTGGATTTTTGTTAGTATTTGACCCTAGAATCAGAAGACAACAGCCTCCTCAGCTTTGAAAACGGAAAAAAATTAGCAGTAATGATCATTAATGTAATACCCTCTCAGAAACTCAAAGGTAAGATATCCTCTCAGATTATGCTATTCGCTGCCTCTTCCTCCAATAACCGTAAATTTCTTCTTCTTCCTCCTCGATTCCAACTTCAGCTTCAAGAGGAATATAATCTTCAGAGGCGGAAATATTGTCTTCAAGAGGAATATAGTCTTCAGAGACGGAAACACCCAACAAGTTCTCTGTTTCCGCTGCTTCAAGAACTGCGCCATCTTCATCTCCTCCCACCTCAAGAGGGATATAGTCCTCCGCCTTTGCTGCAGAAAGCTGTCGTTCTTCAACTACACGATCATCACAAGTACGGCCGTAGACATTAAGGAACACGATATAGTCGGCTATGGAAGACAACGGACGAAGTCGGAAGACTTTCTCCATGCTTTCTTCTTCTTCTTCTCCTTCTTGGCCGTGGCAATCCACGGAATCTCCATCATCAAAAACATCCTCCTCTTCTCGTCCATTCAAGCTGTCCAAGGCAAGAGGAGCGCAAGCTTCTTCTTTTGGAGAGATTTTTCCTTCTTTTGTGACTTCCATTGTAATGTCCTAATAGTTTTCTTTTCCAAGGTGCGTCCTTTATGTTTAGGGAAACGGAGATTTGGAAATATTTAAGATAAAGATTAGCAAATAAATAGAACTACTGGAGCGAACGTATGAATAATGAGTAAAAGCAGCGAAATCTATGTAACCTTTTTAAGGAAAACTTCTTACGCCATACGCGTGGGATTTGGCAAGCGATTCTATCCTATGGTCGACAAAACTTGAAAACTGTTCTTCTCTCGTGCGGCCAGCATCGTGCGTTACAGGCCGGGTATTCGGCTAGATAGTAGGCATGATGGATTGACCGACTTAGAGAAAAAAAAATTTAAAAAATTAATTTTATATTTCTATAAAAATTTAAAAGTAACGGATATTTAAATTATAAGAAAGAAAAAAATTTTGAACACATTTATCAAAACTAACTAGATCCTAATAAAAAAATAATTTGAGAGCCATTGATGCTTATTAGCTTGGTTGGTGGGCGAATATGGTTGGGAACCCCCAACTCGTGTTCGATTTCCCTCAAGAGCAGTGCCACTTAAATGGGGCTCAATCAAGTGCGGGACATGAGGTATTTTGGGTGGATGCCTCTTCTATGCTAGTCGAGGATTAGTCAAACTGCCAAGCATCTTTTTTGGGGTGGTAGCGAGTGGATTCCCCGTTCCCAATAAATAATAATAATAATAACTATTGCGTCCTAGAATATTCACAGCGGTAGAGAAATATAATGTTTAATGTCTTAGTATTGTTTGAAGATCCATCATGCAAACAAATGAAAGAGATAGTGTAGTATTTATAAGAGACACCAAGATTTTTACGTGGAAAATCCTGAAAAAGGGAAAACCCACGGGGCCTAGCCCAGTTTGAATGAATCCACAAGTATTTGTAGTTGATTACAAATGAAAGAGATTAGTTTCATTTGGGGTATGTAGGTGAAATAGCTGCTCACACTTTCCATTATAAGCCCTTAATGTGTTCCCACTATGTACCCTGGAGATTGATTTATGCGAGGTGAAGCAACGTAGAATAAGACACGATCAACCCAAGGTGACACGAGTGAGCAAGGCATGCTTTGATTCACATTCCAAATTCGTGTGTGGCTACGAGAAAAATGACGCACCACAAGCAAGACACCCTATGGGGTTGTTTGGATACACGAAGAAAGATGGCTACCTTCACAATGAGCAAGCTCCTGTCGTTACTTTCGATCCTAAAGAGGAACAATAAGGTGTTATTTCGGATATGACAAGAAGAAACGCTGTCAAATTCAGGATCTACAAAAATTAAATGTGGTCAGGTACCACCGACAACAAATTCAAATTCTAATCCTAATAAGGTTATAAGTTTCTAAAATGAGATATTTTTCTTCTCGTTCTTCATTTCTTCATCTCCTTCCTTTGAGCTCCTTGGATTTGTCGGGTTCAGGTGTCCAAATAAAAAGAACTCCTCCCCAAATGGGTGTTAATTTCTTTTCTCTTTGAATTTTTAAGTAATCAAAATTTGAATTTCCAAATGAAAGGAGCTCTCCCCTAAGGGATGTTTCCTTCCTCTTTGGAATTTAGATTGGATATTTAAATATCCCATTTTAGTTAAACTTTCACAACATTGTGAATTTTAAATTACATATAAAAAATTAAAAATATTCTAATACAACCTGCATAGTTATCCTAAGTAGTTTATATAAAATCATCTAAAATTTTCAAACATGTGTATAAATAATTTGCTCACATTTGAGCATAATCACACTTGGCTATGCTCTTTTAAATTTTTAGGGAGATATGCATTTAAAACACATGCATAAAATTTGGTTAATTATAATTTAATTAGCCCCTTTTTCTTTTAGCCCTATATGAGTATGACCACCTGTTTGCATTATCATCCATATCATCATAACCAAGGAAAATCTAGGGCCCATCACATCATATCATTGGTAACATGGTAAAGGAAAATATTATATCATAAGCAATCACAACAATCAAGCCATAATAACCAGCATACAGTGAAATCCGCAAAAAACCTCGTTACACAAATCTTGGCTAGAGTTGGTTGTCTTAGCAAACTAGCTTAGTGTAGGAGTTCAATGTTTAAATTGTATGAATTTAGAATATTTATTCATTAAGGCCAAAAAGGGGATTTTAGTTAAAGTTTAACTTATATGCATTTAGATTTTATTATTTAAGTTTTAATGATTGGAATTGATTATTTAATTTTAAAGAATTTATAAATTAATAACCCTAAGTGTAAGGGCTATTAATCTACAAATCCTAAGGCTCTTAAATGAAATGTAATCATCCCCTTATAGGATAGATGATCACATGAAGCCTTTAAAGATTTATTGCTGATTCATTAAGGGTTAGAAGATGGATCTTTCAAATCAAAGCACATGCCCTCCTAGTGAAACTAAGCGTGATGTATAAGGTCAATGCATTATTAAGGTTAGATTAAGGGTTATAAATTTTATACAACTATGCATTCCATAAGTGGAGGCTAGCAAGGTACATGAAACCTTATTTGTTGTTAATTTTTATTAAAATCCCTTAAGAGAATTAATATGTGTGTGCCCTCCTAAAAGGAATCATGCACCACATAAAAATACTATTGGGTGAATTATGATGTATTAAGAAACTTGGAAATTAATGCTAAAATACCCTCCAAAGGAAAGCAATCATTAAGCGAGAAAGGTCTTTATTAATTTAATTGAGATTAATTATCAAATTTATTTGATTAAAATTAAATCACTATATTAATTTTTTTTTTATGTTTTGAATTTTGTTCAATTTTTCTAATTTTTATTGAATTATTTGAATTTTTTTTCAATGAATTATTGAATTTTGATTAATCTTAATTAATCATTAATTAATTATTAATAAATTATGATTAAATTTTATTCAAAAAATTTATTTAAATTTAAATAACTAATCTCTGAATTTTATTATATTTAAATTTGTTATGTATATTTGATTTACATTTATTATAGATTAAATTATGTCTTTAATGAATTATTTTAAATGAATTAATTGTTAACAGGCCTGCCAATCAAGGCCATGTCTAACTCATTAGACACACAAAGTATTAGGATTGGGTAATATATATATGTGGAGCTCAACTATTATATGACTTGTTCTTTTTACCGTGGTATATTATAGAACCAAGCTATAATCAATACTTGGAAATTATTTATTTTTTCATGTAATTGTTTATTTATCATAGTGGATTACTTTATGATTTTATTATGATTTGTTTCTTTGTTTAAAGCTTCATTTATATGGTAGCTCTATTACGTGCTAGAAAATTTTGCAACGGTAGAGTGAGAGTTTAATGTATTTTTGTTATACAAAAATCTTACACATATGGATAAAAGTTATATATGACTATAAATTTTTACAAGGAAAACCCAGCAAGGGAAAAAATCACAGTGCCTTCCACATATCACATGTCATCGATCTTAAAATACGAGCAAATACCGAGTAGTACCTAGCAAAACTAAGCAAATACCGAGTAGTACCTAACAATACCGAGTAATACCTAGCAATACTGAGCAAATACTGAGTAGTACCTAGCAATACCGAGTAGTACCTCGCAATACCGAGCAAAACCTAGCAATACCCTAGTCTGTACAAATCAGCTAATACATAGCAATATTGGGTTCCGGTCCGGGTCGGGTCGTCGGGCCGTACGGTAAAGAGTAAGAGCACGTGACGATATTTTATTAACGTATGGATGTAAAGCTAAGTCCTGGACCTAATAAAAATTCCAAGTTGAGCCGCGTATAACACGTATTTTTTGGACCTATTTTGAACCAATGCGCAACAGCCGCTATTTTGGACCGCGAAGGAGACTCAATGGTCGTAACGTCGCAGAGGTTTCCTGCAGGATTGGAGCGGAATGCATTGCAGTAGTTTGCTTTGACACGCTACCTGTTAGCCAGTTCCTAATTCCACTGTACCGCGCGGCATCTATTAACGGTCAGTCGTTGACTCCTTTTATTAGCATTAATGATTCAGTTATTTATTTATTTTTTAATTTTCAAATAATTGGATTCAATTTCTCTACTGTTAGCCCGGTAACTTCTTGAGCTTAATCAACATTCAATTCATTTAGCCTAATTTTGCGCTGTTGAGCTGAGTTGATTAAAATCAGAACCTTGTAAATTGGATTGAATTGATTGAATGAGACAAGTAAGGGTGTGAGTGAGTTACCTCTCTCTCTCTCTCTCTCTCTTGGGAGTCTGCGGACGATGGCTTCTCAGAACCGGAGGCTCCCTGCTAAAGGACGCGATGAGGGCATCCTTGCGAAGTTCTCTGAGTCCCAAATCGTCCTCCGAGGAAGGGAGACCGCTGGCGAGGTCGCCATTGTTGCCAAGAAGCTCCTACGGAGCACTGGCAGAGCCGCGTGGATCGCAGGTACGACCTTCCTTGTCCTCGTTGTTCCCCTCATCATTGAGATGGACCGCGAGGCGCAGATGAATGAGCTTGAGTTGCAGCAGGCCAGCCTCCTTGGCACCCCTCCGCCCTCCCTTGCGCCCCCACCGCCTAAGTGATTGGTTTGCTTTATTTTCTCTGGAATCGGGATCAAGATTCCCTGAGGTAAAGCTTCCTCTATTTCATGAGAAGTTTGATTCGCTAGGAGTTGGGGCGGATCGAAGTTATAAATCTTGAACTTGAGCACATGGCCTCAATAATATTCTCTTTCATTCCTTTTCAGAGAATGCTGAAAATTTTGTTGATCTTTGGGGTTTATGGATCTATATTTTTCTTGCAGCTTAATTAATGTCTAGTTTAAAAGTTGGGTGTGCAACAGGGATTTTCTTCTTCCGATTTAGTTTCTTGAGTTTGGTATGCTCTATGGTTTTAGCTTGTGCTGTTTTCTTTGTCCGGAGCTAAAACATTTATATATTGGTTTTGTGATATAAGTGGAGATGCGATCACTTATTATTATTGTATTTTTCATGCCTGCCTAAAATTGATGGTTTATTATCTTAATAGTGCATGGTATTGTAAATAATTTGAAGATGAAAATGGTGATTTCCTCCTTTCTACAAGCTCAATGAATCCATGGCATTTTCCTTAGGATTACATGTCATAGAAAATTGATGTTGCAACTAAAAAGGAGATAGCAATGTTTCCCTTATCCATTTAGGCGCTTGAATTATTGTTTGTTATCCTACGAAAGCATCTCATATCACCTGTTTTTCATGCAATGGTAGGAGCAACATAAGGAATTCAACGGATTAGCCGAAAAATCTTGGAGCACAATGTGTTAATGATGCATGCATTATTTTGATGATTAGACAGAAGTTTTGGGAATCCTCATTTTATGTGATGCTGAAAGAATATAAATAAGATATATTTATGTTTTGCACATGTAGCAAGCAATTTTAGAAGTTATATTTGAGCTTTTTTCATTTGAAGACAGTGGCTATTACTGCTTGTTGCATAGAAGAGAACCATCTAGATTTCTAAAATTTCTAATATATTCATTGTGTTTTCATCCTTAAATCATCCTTAATTTAAGGGACATTATTATTATTGGTGTGAATGAGTTAAACCAAAAATATATGCAAAATTATTAAGCTTGATATCCGAAACCCATTTTATATGGCTAATCTAGAGCAACTTTTTATTAAGAAAAAGCTCCTGTAATTGTTCTTCAAAAGCATTAACCCAGAAGCGAATGCAAAGAATCACAAAATAATTAGAAAATGATCAAGCATCAGGGAGAGAACACCAAAATTTATGTGATTTGACTTGTGCAAGCCTACATCCTCAATTGAATAAATTGGAGTTTTTAATATAGGTAGAGAAAATATTAATTATCGCTCTTAAAATTATTCGTTGATTTTCTCTCTAATCCCTCATTTTCTTTTCTTTTGTATTATCCAAAACACAAAATAACAAACCAATCCACATGCAACAAATTGCTAGAACTAAAGAAAGAAGACAAATCAATCAAACTATAAATAATATATAATATAAGTTAACCTTTCTTCTATTTTACCTTACTTTGTCTACTTACTTTCTTAGAGTCGAACAACAATTATTTACTCCGTTCTTCATTGAAACTCCTTAGCTATTGATTGTCGCTAGCTCCTACTATTGTCCATCGCCAAGTGCTCATTGATGTAGATGATGGAATTTTAGAGCTTACTATTTTCTTGTCTGGGCAAATCTGCAACAATTGTTTCTCACCATTGCTATAGTGACCACGTACAATCACATGGCAATCGTCATGTTTGGAAGTAAAAAACATGGTGTGTGTTTGTTTTGTATGATCATATGATGTCATTCTACATGTAACTTTAGCTTTTTTGAAGTATGATATTGATAGATTAACTCAAATAATAACAAAGAGACTTTTTATTGATAATAGAAATATATGAGATTTTTTTTATTGAATTTTGGATAAATCTTGATGGGGTAAGTTATAATTTTACAAGCACCAAAATTGTTACAACAAAGGCAAATTTAGGTTCAAGCGAATTTATGTCTAATAAACTAAACAATCCCCCTCCTAAATTATATATTTTGTCTTTTTATGAATGAATCAACTATATACGACAACTCAAAGAGTGCTTTAAGTTCCAAAGCCCACAGGGTTCAACATTACACCGCCTTATAAAACCTAAATGATGTATAAACTAAACAATTGCAAAAGATATCTAAGAAAATTTGTTGCACGCAAAGATGGATCTATCAATATGGAATGTGTACCAATCCTTGAGTTTTCATACCTACAAAAGGTTTGGGCTTTTCTCCTAATTTTGACTGCTATAATATTGTGACCTAGAATTGGGACAAATTTTGAATCACATGTTCTTCTCTAAAAATTTCTCATTCAACATGTGCCTCCTCTTGATTCAAAACCTCTAATGCAACCATAAAGTTTGCCTTTTTGTACTTCTGAAGTTATGGAGATTTACCATGATGAAACTAATGCATCACCATTCAAAGTTGCATGCTACAGTGAGCCTACTTTTATTTTCTTTCAAGATAATCAATGCATCTTTGTGAACCCTATTGGCTTTAATGTCTCCAACGAATACATATCTTATATCACTGAGAGCATTCAAGTATATCAGGTTTTCTTGGTTTTCCTTTGATTTAATATGTACTTGACTCCAATCAATGTCTTAGGCACACCATCAAACATTTTTGACTTTATATTGCTAGTATCAGTCATCTTACACATCAATTTTTTCTATTTAAACACTATTTGGCTGTGGATTATAAGTTGAAAAAACTACTTGTTAGGACACAAATGTTAGGAAAAAATTGAATTTAAAATCCATTTTTTAACCAGATTAATTTTCAGCGACACTTCTCAGGATTGTAAATTGCACGTTGCCCTTTCCTTTTCGAAGCATTAGAATCACTATTCAACTGCCATTTCTTCTTACAACAGAATCATAATATGTTTGTGTTTCTGTCACAAGGCTTTCTGCTGCCATGATTACAAGTAATCCCTTCTTAACGGATCTCCCTTAACTAACATTTACCTAATTTGCTTTTCATATCTAACACTATGTTTGTGTTTCTGTCACAAGGCTTTCTGCTACAATGATTACAAGTTATCCTTTCTTAAAGGATCTCTCTTAACTAACCTTTTCCTAATTTGCTTTTCTTACCTAACACTTTGAAGCTTAGCGTCCACATCTTTAAAAAAAAATGAAATTTTGGCATCATCTGAGTTGATATATCCCTTCATACAAGTTGGTGTCACAAAATTGCTAACATAATAGAAGCAAAGAGCACAATAAAAAGCAAAGCTTAGGCTTCGTTTGGGATAGGTTTCTTACTGCTTTCTAAAATAGCTTCTTATACAAAAATTTCTAGTTTAATAAATTTTTTACTAGAAAGCTGTAAGAAAGCTATCCCAAATGAAGCCGTAATCTTCACCCTCAATAATCGCATTAGGGTTTCTTGAATCTTGAATAATAGAATTGAAATTTTTCATGGGTGTGCTTTCTTTCATGCAAAGCAAATTGAGTTTCTTCTTCTAGTTGTGTTTGTTGGACTTGTTTTTAATCGTGTTCAAGGGATCTAGCTCAAGCTACAAACCTTCTGCAATCATTTCTTCTAAAACCTCTATGAAAACTTGATTTGCCAAACATAGAGCATTTTAAGTCAATTTTGTCTTGTCTTCGTTACTCACAGTCTAGGACATATTCTCCCTCCTATGAGTGTCTTTAGGAGTCTTACTAGACTAGAACACAATGTTTCTTGGCTCTATAATGCCCAAAAAATTTTAAACCATCAAATATCTCGGTTACAAACTTCAGCCATCTTGTTCTTCTTAGAGTAGGTATTCTGATACCAATTATTAGGAAAATTTTCACCTGTCTTTTAGATGGAATTGCCAACCCAAGAGTGAATAGGATGAACAAAAAATTATTTGTAGAAGAGATCAGTCAAAGTAATGAGAATATTAAGATTTATGTGATTTGGCTCAAACAAGCATATAACTATAGCCTCATAAATGGTTGGAATTTCCATTATAGCCTAAGAAAGTAGAAACTTTTGCTATAAAAGGGAGACCAAATTTGGCCCAAATATGCTAATGGTGAAACTTATTCTTTACCAAAAGCTTAAGTGTATGATTGAGAGCTAATCTTTTGTTTCAACAATAACGTATTTTTTCAACCTGCTGTTTGGGACTAATAAAACTAAATACTCTTTCGTGACTTGATAGTCGCCCTTTTGCTAAAGAGCTCTTCACATCAGCCATCAATCCTCAAATCAAAGTTTTTCAATATCATCTATGTGGAGTATTCATTGGAGTCACTAGCTCATTAACTTTACTTGATATGGGTAGAAATCAATCAAAATTCAAGGTAGCTACAAAATTGCTTAAAGCATTCTATTATAGCTACATCACTTGTCACATAGTTTGGACCAAAGGGGAACCAAAATTGAGCCAGATGCATTAACTTTTTTTTTTGGGACATTTAGGCCATTTAAGGCAAACTCACACACACAACGCTTTATGATTTGACAATATATTTGATCATCATATACATCCATCCAATACCATTATATTTGGCAAACTCACACACACAACTCCTATCAACTTTTTGAGATTATGTTTGTCCTTGACCCATTCAAATGTTGTAGAATCTAACTGTAACCTCTTATCCCATCCCAAGCCTACAGTGACAGTTTTCTCTTCTATGAACTTTCACCGTACTTACTGTATGAGAGCATATCATCAAGCACTATATCAGATCATGCTTCCTGTTATCTAAGTTTTTTACGGGATTTCAACTTCCTTAAACACCTTATTGGCTCCTGCATCATAGTATATTGGCTTTTACTTGATTTTTTTCTGTATTGTTAATGCTCTTTGCTTAGTTACCTTTTATCTTGCTGAAGATCACTCCCTTTGGTCATTCATGACATCTTGGAGTTGTAGATAGTTACTTAATTCAAATGACATTGTAGTTTGGGCCTGAGTCAATGATGCTCTTTCATCCCTCACAATGAATCGAGTTTGAATCAATCATTATTCCAGACATGTTGATGCAACAGGAGAAAATAGGTTTAGATTTTTTTAGTATTATAGAAAATTTTAAGATTTGTTAAAGGTTTAAAATTTTTTATTTGTTATGATTTTTTTTAATTTTGAATTGGATGATAACATTATGAAGAGTTATCTTAATTTGGATTAGATTTAAAAAATTAAATTAGTTTGATGATATCTTGTTTCCCCTCTTTTTTATAATTAGGGCACTATATTGTAAAATCGAATGATAAATTAAATATTGAAAGATTTCCTCTCCACTACAACCTATGAGATTCTTCTTTCCATTTACATCTATATAACTTTTGGTCCTCTTCTCGCAAGAAACTCAAGAGTCAAGACTCAAATATCATTTCATCTGTATATCTTATTCGAACAACAATAGCCGCATCTTTTGTATTCACGACTTAAACTTGAAATCTTTATAATTATTGCCACATGATCCCTCCTAGCAAGGGAAGCTCATTGTATTATGATATCCTTTGCGAATTCCCAATTCCAACTCAGCTAGCTAAAGTTAACATTTTAGACATATTCGATAGCAATCTATTATTTCTACATACACTAAACTTCATCAAAGTAATACAAATCAGTCTTCATTAATTTCAAATATTTTCTTTCTTAGATCAATTGTCATCAGAGGCAAATGTCTGCTTTGGCAAACTATTATCTGAAGGTTCTAAATGAAGTTATTTGGAATCATTAAGTCATTTTGTATATAATCTTTCTTCTTGTTCTCATCTACATGACCAATATAAATTATATCTCATAACAAATTGTAGAATCATTATTAGTATATATATCCTATGATGATTACTATATGATCATCATATACATCCATCCAATACCATTATTGTCTTGGTGATACTTCATAGTATGCACTAGTTATTTATTTATTCTGAAGGTTATAAAATTTGTCCATTATAGATTTTTTTTTTTTATTTGGAGTTATCAAGATTTGGATTAGGTTTAAATTCTAATC